GTGTACGGAGCTCTCAGCTCTGAGGTAAGTGCACTTGCCCACTGGGCGGTACCTTCTACAACAAGATATCATGTGACTTCACCCACGTGGTTACAATAACATTTGTCTTTTTACAACTCAAGTCTGGCGTCAGTTTTAGGAGTGGGTCGCCCAGTGGCTGGTGATCAAAACCTAAGTATTGAAAATTTGATACTTCGTAGCTCTGCACAGGGCAGACTGCAGAGACAGTTGGCAACTACAACTAGATCACTTAGTTTGTTAGGTAGTAAGAGTTGTTGCATCTTCGGTCCGTACCCCAACACTCCGTCACCCACTCACGAAACCTATGCCGGATAGTTACCACAGTAAGGCTATTTCTACTCTAGAACGTACAGGAATCTGACCTCTACAGACGTGGAGCCTCGCTTACCGTACCGTACCGTAGCTCCCCGCATTGCAGACCCCGGTTGCGCTGCGAGAGCTAGCCTGCACTTTACCGCTGAACGCTGCACGTGGAGCTGGACAACTAAACTTGCTGACTACACAGCTCCGCCTCCAGCGAGTGTCAGCTTACAGCCTGATCGATGCAGGACGCATCGAGGCCAGGCGTTCGCGCTGCGCAAGAACCATCAGTTTTGCTCTGCGTCTTGACCCTCTTTGATTTTACGTTCACATCGCGATCCATCAACTCTGACCCACGTTCACCGCTCGGGAAGACCACATTGGCCCTACGATGCGTCTTCTGGAGCGCTTGCCGGACGGCGCATTCGAACTAGTGTCTTTTAGCAGCGAAAACCCCCCTCCATACGCCATCCTATCGCACACCTGGGAAGACGGCGAGGAAGTTACGTACAACGAGCTGGTAGCCGGCACAGGCGAGGACAAGACTGGCTACGCCAAGATCTGCTTCTGCAGCGAGCGAGCTGCCGCAGATGGCCTTCAATACTGCTGGGTCGATACCTGCTGCATCGACAAGTCTACTAGCGATGAGCTCAGCACAGCGATCAACTCCATGTTCCGCTGGTACCAGCGTGCATCCAAGTGCTACGTATACCTGTCGGATGTGTCCGTGCCGGAAGAGATCAGCGATGCTGAAGCCTTTCCGATAGCTTGGCAGGAAGCCTTTCGACGCAGTCGATGGTTCACGCGAGGCTGGACGTTGCAGGAGCTTTTGGCGCCATCCAGCGTTGATTTTTTCTGCAAGAAGGGCAAGCGGCTAGGCAGCAGGGTGTCGCTGGAGCGAGAAATCCATAACATTACCCAGATCCCGATCGCGGCTCTGAGAGCGCAACCCCTCAGCAGGTTCAGTGTTAAGGATCGAATGGGTTGGGCGGCTAGACGCACAACAACTTTGAACGAAGACAAAGTGTACTGTCTACTAGGAATCTTTGGCGTGTTCCTGTCACCCATATACGGGGAAGGCGAAGCATACGCCACGCTGCGGCTAAAGGAGGAGATACAGAAGCGGCAAGGAGGCCGCAGTACTGACAGCTCGCGCAACCTGTCTGGTATACCATCACCTAGCAAAGCAGCACACTTCTGTGCAAGCCGTATACATTTAACAGTATCCAGTACTCTTGTCACTACCTTTTCCCCGAAACGAACTCTTTGTTGGACGAAGAGACGAACTCCGATCTCTCGAACAGTATCTCCTCGTCCCTAACACGCATCAACGGAGGACAATATACGGGCTGGGAGGGTGTGGCAAGTCAGCACTTGCCATTGAGTTTGCATATCGTGCACTGGAAACGCACGCTAGACTGGTGTTCTGGGTGCCTGCAATCAGTCAAGAGAGCTTCGAGCTTGCATACCGGGACATCGGGATCCGCCTTCGCATCCCAGGCATTGTTGATAAGAATGCGGATGTGAAGAAACTTGTTCAGGAGACGCTAAGCTCAGCGGGTGCAGACGATTGGCTAATGATTGTTGACAACGCTGATGACCGTGAGGTACTACTTAGCAAGACGAACAGTGACTCGAAGCCGACTCGACTCAGCGACTACCTCCCGCGCAGCGATCGAGGCGCGATACTTTTCACGACTCGGAGCAGGAAGGTGGCTGGGGCTTTGACGCCAACTAGCTTCTTGAGGCTGGATGACATGAGCAAGGACGAAGCCAGGCAGCTGCTGATACAACAAGCAAAAGAGCAGACTTCGTGTGGTGATGAGACGGCTATTGACGAATTGCTGGAGACGCTTACATTCCTACCGCTTGCTATTGTGCAGGCTGCCGCTTTCATGAGCACCAACGACGTGACCGCATCTGGCTACCTAGCCTTGTTCCGAGACACTGATGCGCAAGCGGAACTCTTCAACGAAGGCTTTGCAGACCCCAGCAGATACGATGAGTTGGACAGCACGATCGCGAAGACTTGGCATATCTCCTTCGATCAGATACGCAAGCAAGACCCCCTTGCTGCAGAATACCTCTCGTTCATGTCATGCATCGACCGCGTCAATATCCCTCAGTCGCTACTGCCTCCCGGGGCATCCACGGTACAGCAGACGAAAGCGCTGGGAACACTGACTGGCTACGCGTTCATTACAGAGCGCTTACGAACGGCACAAGAGTCAGACATCGTCAGGTTCTTTGACATGCACCGACTAGTGCACATGGCTTCTACTCGCTGGTTAGACGCACACCGTGAGCGTGCAGTGTGGGTGGATGCAGCGGTAGCGCGGCTCGAGGAGCTAGTGCCGTACGGCGGGCACGAGTTCAAGGAGGCGTGGACAACATATCTGCCACACGCAATTCACGTGGCTGCAATACACGGCATAGTAGACGAAGCGGCTAGCGCTGGGCTTTTAGATCGCGTAGGGCGATGTCAAGTAAGCCTTGGACAGTATTTGGCAGCAGAGACAACACACCAGCGAGCGTTATCGGTCAGGGCTAAAGTGCTTGGGCTTGAGCACCAACACACGCTGACGAGCATGAACGAGGTCGCGGAAGCACTTGACAATCAGGGAAAGTACGCAGAGGCAGAGAAGATA